CGCCAAATCCTCGTGCACCCTGAAGACCGCGGATTCCAGCGAATCTTATGGAGACGAAAGGTGACCGAGCTACTGCGCGAACTACTCCTGAACACGGTGACGTACGGCCTCGCGTGTTCACCATTTCTCGCGATCCGGTCACTCATTCAGTTGGCCAACGACGAAAAAGCGCGATATCCGCAGGGCGCCGTCGCACTGCTCGAGGACCGTTACGTCGACGACGTCCAGACGGGGACGGACACAATACCCGGCGCGATCGCGTTACAAACTGAACTTCGCGAACTTTGCATGGCGGGCGGGTTTCCACTTCGGAAGTGGTCGTCCAACTGCGAGGAAGCCTTAGAAGGCATTCCCCGGGAACACCGCCTGTTCCAAGAACCGCACTCTTGGTAGAACAAAAGTCAGACTACGTTAGGTCTCCTCTGGTACCCGAGCGAGGACAGCTTCGCGTTTGCGATACACCCGCGCACGATCACTCAGTACACGAAACGACGCGTCCTCGCGGAAACCGCACGTCTCTTCGACCCACTGGAATGGCTCGCTCCGGTCATAATCCGCGCCAAGATCTTGATTCAGTCTGCATGGCTGCAGCAGCTGGATTGGGATACACCGCTCCCTTCCGCCGACGCTCACCGCTGGGAGCTCCTCTTCAAGGAACTCCCTTTGCTCGAAGGCCTCCGCGTGAATCGCTGGCTCGGCACTGGCACCGAGAACCAGCACTTGGAACTACACGGCTTCGCCGACGCATCCAAACGAGGATATGCCGCCGTCGTGTACCTCCGCGTCGCCTCAGACAACTTCCAGGCTGTACACATCCTGGTCGCCAAGAGCAAAGTGGCACCGGTAAAGCAAGTGACACTGGCGCGCCTCGAACTGTGTGCCGCCGCGTCACTTTCGAATCTCGCAAAGCACTATCGCAACACTTTAAGTCTGTCCACAGCACCTGTCTTTCTCTGGTCAGACTCTAAGACCACACTGCAGTGGATCCGAGGGCACTCTTCCCGCTGGAAGACCTTCGTCGCAAACCGCGTGGCTCACATCCAGACGCAGATTCCAGACGCTCAATGGCGACACGTCCCAGGGCGGGACAATCCAGCCGACTGCGCCTCCCGGGGGATCGCACCAAGTGAGCTACTGCACCACCCCTTGTGGTGGACGGGTCCAGCCTGGCTCCAGGAGGACCCCTCTCACTGGCCGAACGAGGACTCCGAACTACTCGCAGACCAGATGCCCGAACAACGAGTCGTGGTGCAAGCCGCCACTGAGAAGATTGAAGTCGAGCCTGACATGCTACTCAGGTTCTCATTCCTGCACCGGCTACTGAGAGTCACGGCCTGGTGCTCTCGCTGGCGACACTCCGTCGCCCGCACGACGCTCACGCTTCAACCTGACGAGATAGATGAGGCACTGTTTCTGTGGCTCCGCGTGGTGCAAGGGTTGCACTACGCCGCCGAAGTCACCGCAGTCTCCCTCAACCGCACTGTACCACTGAGGAGCTCACTGGTGCACTTAAATCCATTCTTGGATGACCACGGCGTGTTACGAGCAAGAGGACGCCTGAAGCACGCTCTGCTACCTCACGATGAGAAGCACCCAATGATCGTCCCACCATCTTCATGGCTCACTCGATTACTGATCGACTCCTGCCACCGTCGAACGCTGCACGGGGGAGTGCAGCTCACTCTCGGGCTCCTCCGCCTTCGATTCTGGATCCCTCGAGGTCGGACCGTAGTCAAACAGATGCTGCATCGGTGCGTCACGTGCACGCGATGGCGAGCGGCCACACCGCAGCCGCCCATGGGAAATCTTCCTCGAGAACGAGTCACACCATCGCGCCCGTTCTTCCGGACCGGCTTGGACTACGCCGGCCCCATCCTCATCCGCACGAGCCGGGGACGAGGGCACAAGGCCCACAAGGCCTTCATCGCCGTGTTCGTCTGCCTCAGCTCCAAGGCCGTGCATCTCGACGTGGTCTC